TGGCACTGGTTCATAATTCACATATATGTCAGTTGTTCATAAATTAGTCTGAATACCATTTACAATTTCTCTGATGCTACCAAATAATAATTACTGCTTATATTTCACTTCCATGGTTTTTCACAGTCGCATGATTCTATGGGCGTTCCCCAAGCTTGCATATAATTAGCAGTCGCTGATTTTCTAACAAACGGTTGATTTTCCTGACATGCACAGTGATGAAGATTTGTAGTCAGTAAGAGGAGAAAATGGAAATGCAGGTGCTCCCAACAAAAATGGAAAGATTTGGGAGGCATTATTGATGGAGGCTTAAGTTCGGGTTACTGGGTATCATTTGTTGCTTATACTGAATGTTGGGATACATGAGAATGAGCCAAATATAAGCTGCAGTTACAGACATGTTGCAATTGGCATATATAGTGAGAAAAAAACCTTTGCAGTATCCAGGCTATTCGTAATTGAGAGATATTTTATGCTAAACACATGTACTTTTGACACCCACTGTATATTGTCATGAGAATTTATGTCATAGACTAATATAGAAAACAAACATGATAAATATGAGCTTGTCAATGACTTTTATGAAACAAGAGAATAAATGCACTTACATTACATTTCCCTTGACGCAAACACCTTATGTTACATATAGAACACCTTGACATGTTTTCCTACAATAAACCATTTCCCGTTCACTGCGAGATCCAGTGTTATGCGTGAAATTGAACGTGAAAACAGGACAAACAAAGATCATAGCGTTGTAGTGGCGACAAACATCGAATGGGATTCGACAAATGCGAAAGTAATTTGGGGGATATTTCCATGCTTAACAAGCCATGCATGTTTATAGTAATATAGCTGGAATATAACCATGTCAAGAATATGATTTTTTAACATTAAAATGATTGACATTTGTATCTGATCGTCAAACAAGTACTTGTCCATATAAAGAGATATTGCTCTGGAACAGCATTCAAAATCATCCATTTTGAATACATGTATATATATAACATGATGTATAACGAATATATAAAATTTGAATATAATCAGTCAAAGCATTAAAGAGATATGGCTCTAGAACCCCAATCATTAAAGCAAAATGGCCGTCAGTCAGCCATTTTGAATCCAATCTGAAAAATATAATGACGTGCATCAGGAACCAATGTATGTACCAAGTTTGAATGAAATCCATCCATAAATGCCAGAAATGCTTGATATATAATGATTTTTTAGCACAAAAATGACCACCATTTGGGCATTTTGAATAGGATCGTCAAACCAATACCGGGGTATATCTGTTTATCTATGACATGATGTATAATGAATATTTAAAATTTGAATATAATCAGTCAAAACAAGTCAGAGATATGGGTCTAGAAGCCCATTCATTAAAACAAAATGGCCGCCAGACAGCCATTTTGAATCCGATCTGAAAAATAAATGATGTGCATTAGGAACCTGTAATGTCTAATATGTGTACTAAGTTTGAACGAAATCCATCCATAAATGCCAGAAATGCTTGATATTCATTAAAACAAAATGGCCACCAGTCAGCTATTTTGAATCTTTTCTGAAAAACAAAATTATTTGCATCAAGGTCCCATAACGTCTAATGTATATACCAAGTTTGAACAAAATCCATCTGTAAGCGGCCGAGAAATGCTTGATTTTTAGGATTTTTTTAGCACAAAAATGGCCGCCATTTGGCCATCTTGAATCAGATCGTGAAACAAATTGATGTGCATATGTATAATATCATGTATGATGTGTGTGTGAAGTTTGATTGTGATTGGTCCAGGCATTTCAAAGATACAGGTCCGGACGCAGGCACAAACGCACACACGCACGCACACAAACACGCATGCACATACACACAGAGGTCAAAACATAAGTCCCCGTTTTCGGACTGCTTCCGAACGGGGACTAATAATGTGCTGTACACATTTGATGATGGTCAATTTCGAAGAAGTAAGGGTATTCAAACGAAATATTCTGTCAAAGATGGGCTTTTCGATGTGAGCTACGAAATAAAGAAATTCAAGTTCAAAATCAAAACAGTTTGATTTTTGCGACAGACGTTCACTGTGCATCTTTCACGCAACTCGCGAGATCACCTATTGTATCTAGTTGTATCTGTCTTTAAACTAATCTAATCCTCATTGATTCAAATATCATTCAATTATGACATATCAATTACATCAAAGTGGATTATCTGTGAAGCAATTTGTCTGCATGCTCCCCATTGGTTGTCTGGCTTCAACACCTAAACATTTAGCCAACCAGGAAACATTGTATTTGTTTGATGGCTTTGACATCCTGTCTAGATGTGTCCTGTAACTCACACTGCATCTCAATGGAAAGAGATTGAAAAATTACATTTTTTTCTTTGAAAAAATTTCTTTATTATTAACCTGTTTTTTTGGCAAAAGAAAGACATTTTTCAGTGTAAAATATTTACCTTAAATCTATGCAATTTTGGAACACAATTCAACTGCATTAATGTTTATTTTGGAATATAGCAAACATGATGTGTTATTATTAGAGACAAACTAAGCTCTCACAAATGAATTTCACCAAAACTTCCAATTTTAGTAGATCATCAACTGATTTGCATTGAAACATTGAAAGTGAAATGACCATTTGTCACATGCCAATAAATCAATCTTTTGAGAGTCACTACCTAACATAAGTCTGTTTTATTGATTATTGATAAAATCAACAAATGCATCAATAACAAGCATTCATAGCTAAAATTAAAATAACCCCCCCCCCCCAAAAAAAAAACTTATGAGTAATATTTATTACTTTTTCCTCAAAACTATTACTCTGTTGTCATGGTGCACAATTAACCACTCTTATGATATGCTGAGAAAAATATTAAAATGCTTGCAACAAAAAAATACATTGCTGGTTGCCATGGCAACAACATCGTTATCACTTTCATTGCTGGTCTGAATTTTAATTAACCAATGTGTGCTTAATGTAATGTTTTCAGAGATTAATGTGTCACACGACATAAAAAAATTCAATAGCGTATCCCTGTCCCTCTCACTATTAAATGGTGTATAAAGGTCGCTATGTTTTATTTTGTGCAACGATTATCAACAACATTCAATCATAAATTGTTAGAAATATTTACTTTGTATGTTTCTGTCAAAATTAAATTTTATTTTTAGCCTGTGTAAAATTTTTGTTCTACTTATAGTTATAACCTTTGACATTCCCTGATCAATTCATTGGTTCTAACAGGAGATACACCATAACATATTTGTAGGTCTGTACTGATGTGAGAATATCTGTAATGTATCATAGAACTGAATAAAAACTGTTGTGCTTAATAAGGGATTGACCATATAGTAATTGGAAGGGGCTAGATCAAATAGATCGAATTGACCAAATCTTGGTTACATTGACTTGGCTCCCCTCCTAATTATAGTTTTTCCAGGGACAAACGTTTTATATTATAGCAATTCTGAAAAAATAAACTGTAGTCTGGCCTCCACCACTCTTTGCATGGCATGGTTGTTCTCATTTGTGACATAGCTCAGTTTGTATTGAATGAGTGATATTAATACTGGCGTACTGCTGAACATTTTTTATGAAACAAATATTTGCTGTCAGCTATAGAATTTGTAATGGTTCAGTTTTCTAAAAAATGAAATTTTCAGGTTCAGTAGATGTGTTTAGGTTTCTAAAATGAAATTCTAGGTTACGTAGATGTGTTTAGGTTTCTAAAATGAAATTCCAGGTTACGTAGATGTGTTTAGGTTTCTAAAATGAAATTCCAGGTTACGTAGATGTGTTTAGGTTTCTAAAATGAAATTCCAGCTTTAGTAGATGTGTTCAAAAAATGGTAATGTTTTTGGTCATGGCTCACATCATTAAAAATGAACAGTTTTTTTCACCAGAATTTTAGGAAACTGATCTAAATTTTATGGACTATTTTAAGATTAAAGTATAAACCCAGCATGTGAATGAATTTTGGAAAGCAAATTGACCAGAAATGTTTTTATGTTATTTGCATCAATTGCCAGTTTATGAAGAAAAATATCTTTTTCTTATCATTTCTGGTATCCACAATACTATGCAATAACTTAATGAGAAAGATCTAGATTTTTGAGAAAATAAAATAAAAAGGGCATTCCCTAAAAAAAAAAAAATCTTGTTGATTCAGTCTGGCTGAGTAGGAGTCATTTGCTACAAGTTAAGTAAATATACATGCTTTGTTACATTGTAGATACAACTGTAACCGTTTCACCTTGCACAAAAGTGGACACACCCTAGGTGGCTGAAATTAGACACACTGGACAAATACAAAACACATGTAGCTAGCTTTTATATGTAATAAAAACTATTATGTAATAAAATTAGTGGTGTGTCATTTTGTTATTTAGACAAACTTATCTGCCTCGTAATGAAACAAAAACATGGTTGCATTATTGACAAAAGAGTAATTTTTTATTCAGTGAAATAGAACTGGAGCGTTTGTTCAGTGGCATGGGCGGCTGTTTAGCCCATTTGTTTCATTATTAACTTATTTTGAAGTGGTGTGAATAGCTCCCTCATCTTGCTTAATATTTGGTTGATTGCCTTTACAAGGTGTGCCCAAGGTGTGCACTGTAGCTAAGTAGCCACAGTGATATTCAGCACTGAGCTAGGGAGTCACATGAGTGGCAAAGTTCAGAGTGAGAAGTGACAGCCTTGGCATTCTATGACCTGTATTTTGTGCTGTGGTTGGCGGTGTAGTGGTGATTCCACAAAAGAGTGTAACTTTGCAGTCATCAGATCTCTTCATTATTCACTGATTACCATTGAGTGGAAATGACATAGCTGTGTAGCTTCCTTGTGTAGGCTTAATACATGAACCAGTGAGTGGGCACACTTTCCACAGCAGTGTGTGTGTGTGTGTGAATCATACAGGGTAGCAAACGTTGCTGTGCTGTTGGAATCGGTATGATCAAACCACAGCTGGAGTGGATCTCTATGCTAGGGAAATATGGATTATGATCACAGCAAGCAAAATTAACAGGTGGTGGCGCTGAACACAGAACTTGGTTTATTTCAATCATCGTGTGCCTTAAACGTTTGTTTTAATCAACATACCAATTCTAATGGAATGAGTTTAATTACCAAGCTGCCATTGTTCACAATTGTAAAGTAGAACCCACTGATGTAAGTAAGACCAGTGCAACTTTTCATACCAGCATATATTTTATATACCACTGTATTCGTTCGTGTCAACGGCATTATTTGTTGAATGCATCCCGTAGTCACATCGGTGTCAATCTCTGGACGGTGTTTAAAATGTTGGAGTTTCCACTCACACGTCAGATATGTAAACATCAACTGGCATTTTTGTGTTTGATGACCCCACTGATATCAATGGATGACCTCAGCGTGAGTGAGGGACTGCTGCTAGCTATGTTGTGTGACGGTGATATCGAACAAAACCCAGGACCATTCAAGTCAAAGCATAAGAAATCTGCCTCGGCCGAAGAATTGAACTCGCTTTCTGTCAGTATGTCGAAAGTGGTTGAAATGCTGCACACTGCCAATGAGAATATCGCTGAATTAAACAATAAGTTAGATGGTCAGCAGATTGACTTTGGTCAAATGCAAGATATACAAAAAACCATAGAAGCAGAGGTGTACCAATTAAAAAAAGAAAACGGAGAGTTGAAAAAAATGGTAAACGGCCAATCGGAGGTGTTAGATAGTTTATCACGCTGCAATAACGTTAGGATATTTGGAATCAATGAAGACGATCAAGAAGACGAACCCAAAGTGGCTAGCATACTCAGCCATCACCTTGGTATGGTGATTGGACCGAAAACAATCGAGTGTGTATACCGAGTTGGCAAACCAAAAGATGGATACACACGAGCTGTTATTGTCAAGTTTCACTCCTGGAAAGATAAAATGTTTGTCCTGCACAACAAACTGCGCTTTAGGGATACACAGTATTTTCTGGTTGATGATATGAACAATAAGTATGGGGAGCACAAGAAGCTGCCACAAGCCAGGCGGAATCGTCCTCCCTCATGGGCTAAAGGTATTGTTATATAATGTTTCTGTTGTACACAGTTTCATATTTCGTTTAAACTCCTGACATACTACGACATTGTCCAATGCCTTGTGTTATTCAATTACTTGCCATTTCAAACTAAAGAATGTTTCACTGCTGAGCAGTTTTGCATGCCAATCAGAAACCCAACATTGCTATAGGGGCATGTTATTAATGCCCCAGTGGTAATTTACGGTTTAAAAATAAATAACTATTCAGTGAGGCTGTCTTATTTACTGTGGTTTTTTAGCCAGTACTAGTAACGCAGCATGAGTTGTGTTTATTGTCGTACACTTAATATACAGTGCGAGTGTGTCGGGAAAAGTTCGCTGTAATTTTGAATACCATCAATTGCTTTCTTTAGAAAGATGGGGTGAATATATCTCACGCTTGATTCATCACACACAGTGTGTATGTTTAGAAGACTAGAATTCCCAAGTAGGGATACTGGGTACAAGAGCATACTGTTAACTTATTTACACAGGCGTGTCAAGTTTTAGGTGTTCACTAGTTTATTGTGGTGCCATTAATTGTTAATTCTTAGGTGATTAATCATTGAAGTAAGGTGCAGACTGTTGGATGTATATATGCACCTTGACTTGTTAGCCTACTAACTGATTGTAATTATGGCGGCTCTTTGTGTAATGTTACCCTGTGAAAATGTACCTTGTACACAATCTCATATTGTTCCATTACATGAAACTCAAGGTCATCGCTCTTTGAATACAGGGGTCATTGATTCAGCAGCTGACGCTGACAAAGACTCTGGTGGTAAATATTTGTGAAATAAATCCCCCAATACCGCAGCAATCCGGTCACCAATACAGGAAAGGTCAAAATTGTTTTCTGTTGCTGACTGCATGAAAGTTTTTTTTAACACAGCCGTGCAAAGTAGCAATTTGTGTTAAGATACAAACAATTTAGCACAGCTAGTTCAAGTTCATGGATGGCTGAACTCCTCTTTGTTATTTTACTCCAATTTGTAATTTGTATAACATGGATTGAATAGAGTGTAAATAGATAACAGCAAGCTGGTTAGAATTTATGGCATTGACTTTGTAATTAATCTATTCAGTGGTACATCTGTTACAACCATGACTATGCCAGTTCAAAATTCTACTTTTCCTTAGATTTAAATTACAAATTTCTGTACGGTAACATTTTTTTCCTTTTCATTTGAACATTGTCAGTTCTTCTTAGTTTCACAGGTGGTTGGTTGGTTGGCTAGCATGATGATAGTATTATGTATCTGCAAAAGATGTTAGTCTAACAATCTGTATTTATTAAACATCCTTTACGTGTAGGTATGTGTTGGTGCATGAGACAAAAAATCAGTATTTCTAACCAAAATTTTTTAAGTTGATCCTGATTCCTGATCAATGGTATATTTTTAAGTTGATCCTGATTCCTGATCAATGGTATATTTTTTTCAGAAATTCTTGTATTTAATTGCGAGCAACTTCTGTGGAGGTGTAACATTACACGCTTTGCTATTTATGAAATCCTATACTAAAAATAAATTCTGTAATCATAAATGTTGACGGATGTGTTGTAAACTGTTTATAAATACCAACTGTGGTTAGAGTGGCAATACATGCTGATTCTTGTTGACAGTTGGGCCCCCAAATTGGTTTTAAATTGACATAATCAGCATGAAATACACACTAAATTTGAATTTTAAACTACTTCCGATAAGTAAATGGGAAAGTGTTGCTATTATGTATGTTAACTTGGTTTGGTTGGTTTTTAAAACAACTCTGCTATTTAAAGTAAATCAATAGTTGCAAATTTTGTCAACTACTACATCACTAGACGCTACGTGTTTATATCAGTGAAGTGACTGTTGAACAGCTCCTGTTGGACATACTTACATATAGAATGTGTTTATCGAGTTGCTAGACCTGTGTATCTACCTAACATAATTACATTTTTTTCCCCAAGATTTTTTTAATTATCTACCGGTATGTATTGAATGTTTTCTGTGGAATTTCAATTTTCTGTGTTGAAAAAAACAAATACACAGTACAGTGTTCTGTCAAATTCAACCAGGAAATCCAATGCAAATTTTAGAAATTACACCCTAGAGACAAATGTTTGTATGACAATTCATAATATATAGAAATACAATCCATCTGCATTTGCATTAATTATTATCCAGTTCCATTGCTTCAAGTGACTAATGCTTCGTCTTGCTGCTGGGAATCTAGTTTGTTGGAATATGAAAACTTTTAATGTATATGATAAGATAGATTGTAAATTTCAGGATTGTAATATTCCCACCCTATTTAAATTTCTTACGTCACTTTCACAAAATCGTTCTGTGTGATATCAGCTGCATAATAATTAACTTTTTATTGAAGTAGGCAAGGGGATCTCCCCAAATGAGTTGTACTCTTCAGTTATTACTAGAACATAATCATCAAGTTACATATTTGAAAATGACATCTAACTTAGTTTTGTGATAGATTGCTGATTACTTTTCTACATTAAGTCATTTACCACATAAAAGAAAATATTAAAATGAAATAAAAAATTACAGCTTTATAGAAAGACAATAGTTGAATAATTTTTAGGTAATTTACATAAAACTGTTTGATTTCTATCTGAGTATGTAGGTAGGATTACCAAAAATACAGGATTTATTTTATTTGGCCTTAGGAAAGTGCAAATACCATCTGCCTGCCATGATTATTCCAGCTGTAAGTGGTAATATATGGTTTCAAGTGTTGTGTTCTGGAATCACAACAAAGATATTATGTTTCATTCATATGGTCTCACACTAGACAGTTTCATTTCACTGCAAAAAATCTTTCTCATATTGTTAATCTTGAAAGAATTATGAAAGTGAAATTTTAGCATGCCAAGAATCATTCCTCAAGTATGTATAAATGTTATATTTAAAATCTGTGAGGGTTTTACTGTCTACACAAAGATGTGTGTGCACGCTATAGTGTTTGATGTTCGTGACGTAGCTTCATCATCAAAACATCTGACATGTACTTCTGTATATCAACACGCTCTGACATGTATAGAAATGAATGTTGTCAAATATTTTTTTGTATATTTCAATTATTCTAAATAGGAAAAGGTTAAAAAACGTCTTAACTCTGGATTGCTTTCCACTCATCATCTGTCGCATGGTGACGTATTTGACAATTTTGATATGTCAGGCAACTATTTATTATTTAATAATTGTTCTATTAATTTCAGTCATTAATGAAAGACAAAATGATTGTTTTAAAATTAAAATGGTTATGCTACTAAAAAACTGTGAAAATTTAACTTCCATTTTAAGAAATACTGTAAACCATTTAAATTTCACTGCTGTAGTTTTCAGTATTCATGTCATTTGTGAAAGCAAAATTTCGCAAAAGTCACTGACAACACATGTCAAGAGACTCAGACATTTTCACTCCTACAAAATTTTGCAGTTTTCACTGACTGAAGATTTGTTTTTTGCGAAAAGTGGTTTACAGTATATTAAACATAAATTTAAGTTGAATAAAAAAAAATGGTATCGTGAATGTGGGAGAATTCATTAGCGGAGTAGATAGCTGCTGTGACATGTGGCCTATTTAGGAATTTTAATTATATAGGATGTAGTTAATTTAGTGGATGAATTAAAAGTTGACCTTATAGTGCGAGTTCACGAAACACTGTTGAATGTTGTCTATTGTCAGAGTGTTGGTGCTGGTAATCCATTGATGTATGTATATGTATGCTAGAATTATAGCAGGGCTTCATCACAGTATTGTCTGTCTGTTCGGGCTGGCTATTGAGTGACCATAGTTTCTATGAGTTGTACTTTTATTTATATCTCCTTGGAGGGTGTGGTATACTGATGAAAAACCCATTCACTGTGCTGTCAATGTTTGCCATAAGTATGTATTATGCATATTACCCTAGCCCAATTTCCTATATACAGGGTACTGCTGCAAGTCCAATCAAAATATACAGAATTTTGATACAAAATCTGCCATTAAAATTGTTTATGTTTACTCTTTAATTAACATGCTAGTAAAATGTTATAAATTAATGGTAAATATATTTTTTTTCAAGATGTTTTTTAATTGAACTTTTTCTAGTATAGATTTCAATCTAATCAGAGGTTTTTTTTTAGAATTGTTTGCGTTGTTGATGAAAAAAAAACATCTGTTGAATGCGTATATTTATAGAAGATTGAGTTTTCAGCCAAAAAAATGTATTTAATATTATTAATACCATATGGCAGGGTATTTATTTTATCGTCTACAAATACAGCATACTTGGCTTGGATTTGTCAAATAGTTTATGTTACCCTGTTCTCTTATATCAACACATCTTGTATTTGCTGTTTTAGTAGTGTATGTGCTTACATAATATAGTCAAGATAATTAAAGTCATATGTAAATGATACAATTTTTAGTTTATGTACATGTTTGAAAGAGAGAATTCTCTTGGAGAATAAAGTATTGAGTGTTTAGTTGAGTCATTGCTGAGTACATTTAAAAGTACTCACCTGGAAAGTTTCCGATATGCACTATAAGAAATATTGGTACTCTCATTATTAGTGCTGGTCTCTACGGAATTCTTCATGCTATTTAAACATTTTTGTTGCATGTTCAATATTTTATTAGGAGAAGAAGAAAAAAAAAAGTGAGTACCCTCAGCAAGTTCTCATTGACCTTTGACATTTTGTGCTACCGATGTGAGTCATCAGCTTCGAGCAGATGCAGTATGGCTTGGGGAGTTCTTCATGCCTGAAATCACACGTATTCACGGCACTTCATTTAGGTGAACATGCAAAACTAATGTTTTACGAGTCATCACCATGATAATTTCTAAACGCAGATTTACTGCTCTTATTTCCAATGCAAATATTGCCTGGAATCAGTAGCTTCAACTCAAGCAATCAGAGTCAGTTATTTAAACAATACAGTGTTGTACTAACGGTGAACTTAAATTGGTGCATATGAACTTGATCTGCAATGATGCAGTTATGTAGTGGT